CTCCTTCCTTCTCATCTGTCAGCTTCTGATGGAATGGTTCAAAACATAGGCTCTGGGCTGGGGGTGTAGCGCCAAGGCTCCCGGCTGAGAGGTGACTCCTTCTGCTTTGCCTTATCACCTGTGCCCCACAGAGCACAGAACAGGTTGCTGCGTTTTGCCGGAGTCTGCACGAGATGAACACCTCCGACTCGAGCCCATCTCCTCAGGATGCCACAGGCCCTCAGCTGGCCACCACTCGGCAACTGTCAGACGCCGATAAACTGCGCAAGGTGATCTGTGAGCTGTTGGAGACTGAGCGCACCTATGTGAAAGTACGTCTGCCTCCCCAGCCTCGGGGCCTTACCCACATTTTCTTCTGCAAAGAGTGAAGCGGGTCGCTGTCTTAGTTAGGGTTTCTGTTGCTGGGAAGGGACACTATGACCACAGCAACTCTTAGAGAGGAAAACATTGAACTGAAGCTGGCTTATGTTTCAGAGGTTTAGTCCATTATCATTGTGGTGGGACATGGCGGCAGGCAGACACGGTGCTGGAGGAGCTGAGAGTCCTACATCTTGCAGGCAACAGGAAGTGGACAGAGTGTCACACTGAGTGAAGCTTGAGCAAAAGAGACCTCAAAGCCCGCCTCCACAGTGACACACTTCTTCCAATAAGGCCACACCTACTCCAACAAAGCCACGCCTCCTAACAGTGCCACTCCTTTTGGGGGCCATTTTCTTTCAAACCACCACAGGCACTCCCTGAGTTTTAACCTACGCCAAGGTCAAGTTACAAATGCCAAGACCCCGATCTCTCTTACGGAACTAGTATATTGATTAACATTGATAACTATAAATTCTTAATTGTTATTTTATATATTTATATGATTGGTGGTGAATATTAAATCACCTTTCTGGCTTTTCTCAATATGTTATAAGCTACTACTAAATCTGAATTCAGGGCCTGGTGAGATGGCTCAGGGGATAAGAGTGAGGGCCTGAGTTCAGATCCCGAGAACCCACACTGGCTGCATGTGTCTGTCACAGCGTCTCTTGGGGGGCAGAGAAAAGCAGATCCCAGGAGCTTGCTGGCCAGCCTAGCTCAAAACCTGGTGGGCTCCAGGTTCACCGTGAGACCCTCTCTCAAGGGAATAAGGTAGAAAATGATTGAGCACCACAACCCAACATCTTTCTCTGGCTTCTCCAGGCACATGCATGGTATTTGTACATAATGCAGTGTATACAGACACACACACACACACACACACACACACACACACACACACACACACACACAGTAGTTTCTTTTAAAATGTAGGATCCTAGCCGGGCGGTGGTAGCGCACGCCTTTAATCCCAGCACTCGGGAGGCAGAGCCAGGCGGATCTCTGTGAGTTTGAGGCCAGCCTGGGCTACCAAGTGAGTCCCAGGAAAGGCGCAAAGCTACACAGAGAAACCCTGTCTCGAAAAACCCAAAAAAAAAAAATAAAATAAAATAAAATGTAGGATCCTAATTGATGAGTATTGATAAGAAAACTCTAATCAGTCATAAATAAAGTTTCTGAACACTCATGAAAATGGACTGATTAAAGTCTTTTCATAACCTAATGTGAGTCTAGGGAGAAGGGGTGGGTCTGTTTTCTGTGTGTTATTAATTGTTCTATTCCCACCCTGATTGACAGCAATGAGATATAGCTTTTTTTTTTTTTTTTTTTTTTAAGACAAGGTCTCACTGTGGAGCCTAGGCTGGCCCTGTATTCAAAACACTCTGCTTCAGCCCCCCACATGCTAGGATTCCAGCTCACGCCACCAGGACCGGCAATCAGCCTTTAACTACTTAAATGTTAGTCTAAATCAGTCTAAATATTTTAAGTCTAGCATATTGTGACCCACAGGCCATATCCAGCCTGCTGCCTGTTTTGAAAATAAAGTTTTATTGGGACACAATCATGTCCCTTCCTGTATGGAGCTCCTTAGCGGGCTCTCAGAGTACACTGTGAGTTAAAAGAATCCATTTCAGCTGTGCTCAAGGGCCTGCAGAGTCTGCAGTACTTGTAGAAGAAGCCTGCTTCTTCCTGTCTTAATGGACTTCCATCACTGGCTCCTTGGCATTCAGAACACAGTTTGTCTCTTCCTTGTAGCTTTTTGGTATGCTAATGAAGTGTCCTTCTGGCTCATAGGACTTAAACTGCCTCATGGAGAGATACCTGAAGCCCCTTCAGAAGGAGACCTTCCTCACCCAGGATGAGGTATGGTGGGCTGTCTTGATGTGTATGGGGGGGCACACTACTGTTGACTGGCTGGTAAAAAATGGAGCAATGACAGGGGTGCCTCTGGAATCCATTTAGTTAGAGCAGGTCAGATACAGCCTGTGAACTTTTGATGTAAAGTTGGAGCGTGGAGGACTGCCCCATTCTGTAATAGTAGACTTGGTAGTACTCAGACATCATAGTTTCTGAACCTCTATGTAATATGGGGTAGATTAAATTCTTTTTCATTTTTTAGCTTGATGTACTCTTTGGAAATTTAACCGAAATGGTAGAGTTTCAAGTCGAATTCCTTAAAACTCTGGAAGATGGAGTAAGACTGGTCCCTGATTTGGAAAAGCTTGAAAAAGTTGACCAATTCAAGGTAGGCCTCACCTTCAAGCCACTGAAAGCTGCCTGTTTGTGTCACTGCTGGGGTTTTCTTGTGGGTCAGGGTGAACCCCCATGACATGTTGCAGGTGGTCTTTTGTTCTTTGGGAGTCTGCAGAGCTCGTAGTACTGAGGGCTTCCAGGACTTCCCAGTGGGGGACCATCCTTAAGGGAGTTGGGGTGGGAAGAGACCCCTTTATCTTTATCTGTCTTGTCTGATGCTGCTGACTCAATTCAACATATTTATCTGCTGATGTCTCCTTTGGAAGCTGCACCATCCTTAAGGTTACATTAGCTAGTAGCAAGTTAAATACATTAGCTAGTAACAAATTAAATTAGTCCTCTGATCTTTCAGTAAAATCAGTTTATCCTGTTCTGGGGAACTTTGCTGATCCCTGTCCAGACGGACAGCGTCCTTGTTGTCCTAGTGAGCAGGTGTGACTCGTGCCTGAGTAAGGGTTACTCACCCTCAGCTCATTTCCTCTCCCCTGCCTGGTATTCCCTGGAAGGAATTTCCCATTCCAAATTCCAGGTCAACAAAACTTATTGATGTGTGTGTTAGCTTACATGCCACTCCCCTGTGCTTTTAAAAACAAAGTCAGCTATGGTATAATTGGCAAAGCACTGTGCATAATTAAGGTATAGGCTCTGATAAAGCATGTGTGTATGAGTACATACACACACACACACACACACACACACACACACACACACACACACACACAACCTGTGAAATCATCACTACAGACAGGACAATGACATCTCTGACAATGATTATCTCTGAAAGCCAGTTCCTACCACTGGTGATTTCCTGCTCCTGCCTCTCAGTACCTCCCATCCACAGGCAGCATACTCTGCATCCTGATGGTGTAGGTGTGTTCATCAGCTGATGGAACTTCTTCTTGGGGATCTGCAGTGTGCACTAGCCTGTGGGGCCTTCAGAAGTTCTGTAGGTGTGCAGCATTGGGCAGCCACGGTCAGAGTGTAGGAATCCCTCCCATCCTGTGTAGCAGGCACTAGAGATACTGCTTTATCTGGCTAGTGTATGGTAAATACTTAGTAACTGTTACTGTAAGCAAAGGAGTGGATTTTTGTGGTCCTTCCCAGCTTTTCCTGTTTAGTTTGTGATCATGACTCTGGTAGACACATCTTTACATAGTCCTGCAGCCAGGGCACTTGAGAAGTATAGGAAGAGTTGGACATGAGGAAGAGATTTTAGATCTCTGTTTACTGTGGATGCCAATTAAGTATGGCCTAAGGCAGACATTTTCTCCATCAGTAGACTATCTGAACTTCCTCTGAATTGTGAGTATCAGATAAACGGCATATTTGGGAACTCAGGTTATCATTTGCATCCCTTGCTTGGAGCCTTTAATTACTTTGTAAAAAATATTATTATTATTATCATTGTTATCATCATCATCATTATTATTATTGTGTGTGCATACATGCCACGGTGTGCATTTGGAGGCCAGAGGACCTTCCACCTTACATGGGTCCCAGGGACAGAACTTGGACTCCCAGGTTTTCGAGGCAGGTACCTTCCTTTAACTGCTCATCATCTTACCATCCCGCATTGTAATTCTAAGCCTGTCTCTGAGCAAGACTAGATCCATGTGAACTTTCTGGAAGATGTTTTTCTGAGGCTTGCTCTTTTGTTCACTTGCTTAAAATGGGTGGGATCAAAAGCATCCCACACCAGGTGTATCTGTCCTAACAAGGAAGCTCTGTCCTGATGTTTTCTTCTTGGGGCCGCAATCTACACTAAACGTGGCTCTTGCATTGGTATTGCTTACGTTCTTATCTACTCCTGACAGAGGGGCTTTGGAGAAGGTGGAGGTGGTAACCAGGGGCATGTCTTCTCCACTTTGGAGGTGCAAGCCTTTCCTACATTTGTCTGGTTTGTCTCTTCTGTCTCCTAATAAGGAACTCATGAGAGAACTCAAGCTATTTCTGCCTTCCCCAAAATCTATTATTTTCTCATCGGCATTCAAACATCTCAGATAGGTACATTGAACACTCCCACTGTAAATACTGAGAAGACAAAACATATAACATCTATAGAATTCATTGCAAACCAAAATATGTTTCCACGATCAGTTTTAGGACATTGATGAACAAAGAAAGGCTTTGACAAACCTGGAGACTGGTTGGTGCAGAGTGAGACCGGTGTGTTTTCCCTGCTCGCGCCTGCCGCTGCAGCCGGCTGGCCGCACTGCTGGGTCTGCGTGAGGAGGGGACTGAACCCATTGCCCTTTTCCTCTTTAATCTAGAAAGTGCTGTTCTCCCTGGGGGGATCCTTCCTGTACTATGCGGACCGCTTCAAGCTCTACAGTGCCTTCTGTGCCAGCCACACGAAAGTCCCCAAGGTCCTGGTGAAAGGTAAGGCAGGGCTGGGTGGTTTAGACCGGTGTGATGGTTGCCAATTCACATTTGGGTGGATGGCAGTGGTGGATGGCTTTCAGAGAAGACTCTGAGTTACTGATGTGCAAGGCTGACATTCCTGTAAACCACAATACTGGTTTTGAGAAAAGACAAATGTATTACTCTCTTAAATTCACCATTGATCACTTTTCTTGCAATGAAAATTTCGACTCAGCCATTTGGGGCTGGCGTCTTCTTGCAATAATGTAAAACCCACTTCCCCTCCCCCACCCCAAGACAGGGGTTTCTCTGTGTAGCCCTGGCTGTTCTGGAATTCGCTCTGTAGACCAGGCTGGCCTCGAACTCACAGAGTTCTACCTGCCTCTGTCTCCTGAGTGCTGGGGTTGAAGGCGTGTGCCAGCACTGCCCGATTTCTCCTGTTCATTAATTTCTGTTATAATTCACTGTGCTTCATATACCCTTTGTTTCAGAAGGTCATCTTTCCTGTGCTTGTTTTTATTCACAGGTGTGTGGTAGGAGCTGTCAGTGTTACTAGTGAAGGTATTGCAGTTATTTTTGCACAAACCCAAGGATACTTTTTATGTTGGGAGCGTTCTCTTTTCTTACTGCCCCTTCCCCTTTCTCCCCTTCCTCCCTCTCTCCTTTCCATTTCATTCTCCCCACTTTCTACCCCACTTCTCCATCCTCCTCCTCTTTCCCCTTCCCCCTCCCATATTCCCCTCCCCCTTCTTCAAGAATCTAGCCGAGGGCCTTATGTGTGCAAGACCAACACTGCCTTTGAGCTGCACCCCCTAGCCCTGATGCTTCCCTTGGGGGTTTTGAGAAAATAAACATTGTACACGTCTCCAGAACCTTTCTGCAGCCTCCACAGGTCACTGTATGGTGGTCTGCAATATGTAAAATGTTGATCTCCCAGAAATAAGAGAGGAATGGTGGTTGGCAGAGGCTGGGATGGGGGATGGGGTTAATAGGAAGAGGGTGGTTAACAGGTAGGTTATGCACTAAAGAGAATATCTCGGTTCTGTGTATACAGCAGAGGGTACAGCACAGTGGTGGAGGTCACCTTGAATGCAGAAGGCCTTGAGGTCAAGCCCCAGTGCCTCTAGGAGAAAACCAAAAGCATGGCGGAGTGACGGTGGTTAGAAGTAATTAGAAGAAGCTGAATATTGTCAACCCAAAGTGATGGAAATATTTGTGAGAGATATTCTGAGTGTTCTTGTTGATCATCGTGTATGCATATATTAAATTATCACATCCTACCCCATGAATATGTATAATTACTACATGTCCATAAAAAAAAAAAAAGCTACGTCTGGTCCATTGTGGCAGCACACATCTGTAATTCCAGCACTCAGCAAACTGAGACAAGAGGTAGGATTTTGAGTTCAAGACCAACCTGGACTATCTGGCTAGATCTTGTCTTTTAAAAAACAAAGACAAAAACAACCCCCCCCCCCAAAAAAAAACAGTTCAATTTAGTCAAAAGATTTTCACTAGTCAGTATAATACATACTATATGTGTATTAGCCGTTACTGTAGACAGAGTCCCTCCCAAAGGTATTAAAGAAGTGCTTCTTTGGAAGACAGAATCAGGACACAGTTTGGCTTCAAATGGCCTCTGGAAATGAGTGTGCTTTTCCTCAGCATTGCTATGTGGCTGCCAAGAAAACGTTTCTCATCAAGTCCCCGGTTGAATAATTTCCATGTGTTGTGTTGATGTTTGCTACCCAAGAGAACTAGCTTGGCTTAATGTAAAACCAATGTTAGGAAATACTAGAATAATACAGGTCTTTGGATAACAAAGACTCTGCTCCAGATAATGTGAGGCATGCTGGGAGTGCTAGTCTGTGCAAAAGCATTCTGAGAATTTCCCTGCCATGCTGTCTGATGTCAACCTATGTTTTCACACATGTGTTTTGGCTGTGTGTGTGTGTGTGTGTGTGTGTGTGTATGTGTGTATGTTTCTTTTAAAACTTTTATTGATTGCTAATCATTATCAGATTGCCAAAATAAACATTATAGAATTATTTGCTCTGTAGTGAAGTTATATATGCATTATATTCTTCTAAGTAGTTAGTACTTTTTAAAATCACTCCATTAGATTAAATTTGCCTTTGTGGATTTTTTTCTTAATTCAATAACATTAATTTTTCTATCTGAAAAATATTATACCATCACTCCAAATTGTCCATAAAACAGTAGGTATGGCCTACATTTTTTAATTGTCAAGTGAGCTGGAGGTTTTTTGAGAATTTGTGTCTGCCATTTTTAGGTAGGCTGGGTGGGAGGACTGCACTGTGCTCTGCAAGCCTCCTCCCCCCTCATAGGAAATATACTTCATGACATAGTGACCGTCTTAGTCAGCCTTTCTAGTGCTGTGAAGAGACCATGACCACAGCAACTCTTACAAAGGAAAACATTTAACTGGGGTTGGCTTACAGTTTCAAAGGTTTAGTACATTTAGTCCATTATCATCATGGTGGGACATGGCGGCATGCAGGCAGACATGATGCTGGCTACATCTTGATCAGAAGGCAACAGGAAGTGGACTGAGACACTGGGCATGGTTTGGGCTTCTATGAGACCTCTACTGTGGGATGGTCTGTATGTCAAATGTGTTGCTGATTGGTCAATAAATAAATCACTGATTGGCCATTGGCTAGGCAGGAAGTATAGGCGGGACAAGGAGGAAAATAGAGCTGGGAAATGGAAGGCTGAGGGGGAGACACTGCCAGCCGCCATCAGGATAAGGAAGATGTAAAGTACCGGTAAGCCACAAGCCACGTGGCAAGATATAGATTAATAGAAATGGATTAATTTAAGCTGTAAGAACAGTTATCAAGAAGCCTGCCACGGCCATACAGTTTGTAACCAATATAAGTCTCTATGTTTACTTGATCGGGTTTGAGCGGCTTGGGACTGGCGGGTGAGAGAGATTTGTCCTGACTGTGGGCCAGGCAGGAAAACTCCAGCTACAACCTCAAAGCCCACCCTCACAGTGACACCTTCCTCTAACAAGGCCACACCTACTCCAGCAAAGTCACACCTCCTAATAGTGCCACTACCTATGGGAGCCATTTTCTTTCAAACCACCACAGTGACCAACAGCTGTATTTTGCACATGAGAATCTGGATATTAGAAATCAGGTTTCTCCCTGTGTCAGCTCTAGAGCTAGCCCAGCTTCTGTAGCATGTCTAGGTTACTGTCCCCATGTCCTTTTTGAAAGGAGAATCATGAGCTGAACCTGTGGAATCTGATCCTCCTCCTCCTCCTCTCCCTCTCCTTCCCCTCCTCCACCTCTCCTCCTCCTCCTCCTCCTCAATCTCTCCTCCTCCCCCTCTCCTCCCTCTTTCTTCCCCCTCCCTTCTCTCTCTTCTCTTCCTCCCCTCTCCCCTTCTCCCCTTCTCCTCCCCACCTTCCTCTACCTCCTCCTCTTCTGAGACACGGTCTCACTCTGTCACCCTGTCTAAGCTGGAATCTGCCACATAGACCAGTCTGACCTTGAAGTCACAGAGACTCACCTGCCTCTGCCTCCTGAGTGCTGGGTGGGATTAGAGGCATAGGGTGCGGGGCCCAGCTTGGTTCTTCCTAATAGGATTTTAAGGGGCTCAAAAAGCTGTGGCTGTGTGAGCTCATCTCCTGGGGTTGCTGCTTGTCTTGCTGTTTCAAGGCAGGAGGACTCACCACTTCATGGCGCTCTTCTATCTCCCATATTACGTAACACTACTAACCACTTGGGGTGGAGATATGTTTTTCAAAAATGAATAACCCCTAAGTTCTAGGAAACTACTCATTTATTCGGAAACTATCAGGTTCCTCTGACAGACTGGGTGCTGTTTGTGAAGAATCTAAGTCCATGGAGGGCTGTGTCTAATTTCTGATGGACAAACGTAATCCTGATGACATGTAGGTTCTGAGTGTGAAGAATGAGTTTGTTCCAGCAGTGATGATGCTTGTGTACTGATTTGTTCTAAAGACTGCAGCTCCAAAATAGACGAACAGAAGAAACGTGCGGGGCGGGGTATGGAGGGAGGGAGGGGCTTGCTCTTCCTCTTGCAGCCTACATTGGGGCAGCCACCCCACCAGCACTGTCCTATGTCCCCACCAGCCCAAGCATTGCAGGTGTCCACTGTGAAGTGACTTGAGCATCCCATCCCTCCCCCTTCATGTGCTCCATCAGTCCTCTGCACCTGGAAGGCGTTAGCCATTTTCCCAGTTGTCCTGGTGCGGACCCCTTCCCACTGTCCCCCGGGGCCACTTGCCATCCCAGCTGGAACACGGATGAAAGTGAGGCTGGGAAGGAGGTGCTTGCCAGTGCTCTGAGCTCTGTTGGGTCAGCTCCCCACCATCCAGATGCTAACAGCTGGTAGCACCGAGCTGACATTGAGCAGATTGTTCTGAGGTTTCTGGCCTCACTCCACTTAACAAGGCTGCAGGATGCTGTTTCTGTTTCTGGCCTTTTCTGCCTGTTTTAAAAAGGTCTTCCCAGCAATGAAGTGCTTGGAAGCTTGGGAACCAGGCGGAGATTTCAGCTGGAGGTGCTAAGATTATTCTGGTGTGGCGGGGCTGGCAGATCAGATGATAGCTGTTGTTTGTCATTCATGGGTCCCAGGAGGAGGGGACAGCCATGCAGCATGGCCCCTTGGGGAAGCACTGGGATTGTTTAGGAGACCGAGGAATAGCATGCCGCCTTGAATAACTTCAGTGGGCTCTGGGGTGTGGCCAACGCTGAGCAGTGTGACATCTGGCCCTGAGGTGATGAGCAAAGCCGGTGAGGACCCAGAGTGTCAGCGCCTCCTAGAACTGATAGGTGTGGGAGAGGTGCACTCTGAATTGATTTCTTGCAGGCAATTAATTTGCTATCTTTAGGAGTTGGCTAGGCCTGGGAAGAGCAGTCTCCCCAAGGACAGCAGGAGTCAAAATGTCAGTATAGAAAGACATACTCAATATGAGGAGGGTGAACAAAGTCCTTTAACTAGTCTGCATCCCCACCAAACACACACATGACTGACAGGCGCATCCAGTATGTACCTCGGCGGAGACCTCCTCCCTCTCCCCGGAGCCTGCTGGGCCCAGTCCTATAAAAAGATGCCTTGGAATTAGAGTGAGTGTGAGCCGAGGTGCTCAGGGAACCACTGGGGCCTGCCACTCTGAGGGTCTGTGTTCTGTCTCTTCCAGCCAAGACGGACACAGCCTTCAAGGCGTTCCTAGACGCCCAGAACCCGAGGCAGCAGCACTCATCCACACTGGAGTCTTACCTCATCAAGCCCATTCAGAGGGTCCTCAAGTACCCGCTTCTGCTCAGGGAGCTGTTTGCACTGACTGATGCGGAGAGTGAGGAACATTACCATCTGGATGGTGAGCATCTTCCCTTTCTTCCCCCAGCCTCTCCACACCCCTGCGACACCTGTCCCAGCCAGGCCTCTGCACAGCCCCCTTTCAATCCTTATGTTCTTCTAGTGGCCATCAAGACCATGAACAAGGTTGCCAGTCACATCAACGAGATGCAGAAGATCCATGAAGAGTTTGGAGCTGTGTTTGACCAGCTGATTGCTGAGCAGACAGGAGAGAAGAAGGAGGTGAGGCGCCCCCCCCCCCCAGCTTTGATGCTCTCTTTTTATGAGGTGTGATTGTTTTCTCTGGCACGTGTTGTACAGCAAGACTTTTCCTTGGGTAGATGCAGCACACACATGTCTACTCACTCCAGACAAGGATCCCATGATAGACCAAAGTATGAATACCTCCTAAATCCTACTTGGTGAACCAATGAGTTTTATTGGGGTTACTTGCAGGAATATGGGTGAGGGGTCACTTACAGGAGTAGAAATGACTCAAAGACAGCCACATAACCAAAGCTGGGAACCTGGAGCACACTGCACAGCCTACAGGCAGCTCAACAGGTTGGAGAGTGTCCTTTCCAAGTGACTCTGGTCTAAACCTCTTCCAGGCAGCTTGGCTGGTTTCTGCTTCTTCCAAGTACCAGGTCTAATATGAGAATCTTTGCATCTTGACTGGTCTGATAGTGACTCTTGGCTGTCTTTATTGCTTATTCTGGGAGGGAGGGGCCTTAGTAAATCTGGTCAGTTTCAGGGACTTCCTGAAGCGGTTTTGAATTATTTACCTTCTGAGGAGCTTCCTGGGAGATGGAATGTTTCAGTCTTGAGGAAACTGCTACATAACAGTAGGACTCTTGTCTTTGAAGCCTTAGCTTTTTTTCCTGTTGCTTTGGTAAAATACTCAGGCCACCACACTTAAAAAGGGGCCTTAAGTTGGCTCACAGCTCAGGGTAAAGTCCACCATGGCTGGGTAGTCACGGCCGCAGAAGTGTGAAGAAGTTGGTCGCATTGTGTTGTCGGTTAGAGAGAGCAGTGGGTACATGCTGATGGCCAGCTTGCCTTTATTTCACACAGTCCAGGATCCCTGCCCATGATTAAGATGAACCTTCCCAAGGCAATTAAGGCCAGCCTTCACCTAGACAACCCTTCACAGGTATACCCCATGGTCTGACTCATAGGCATCGAATTGTCAGTTATGCTCAAGGCTACCCATGAATTTTTTTTTCACCATAGCTTTTTCTTGGTAGAGTAAACATGTTTCTGATGCTTTGCTCTTAGCCTTTTGGGTCTCCGATTTTAATCCGTACTGCATGTAGAAGTGAGTGTCATTACCCAGGCTGGGCTGTTTCTGTGAATGCCATCAAAGGGTGACTGTGAGTCCCCAGATTAGAATATCTGCCATTTATCTAGTCCCAGCCACATAGTTGGTACTTGATAAGTGATTGTTAGGTGAATTCCGGTTCCAGTGACAATAATTCTTTTCCCCATACCCGAAACACTGCTTCAAAGAAGCCACCACAAAGCCACACACACCTAAGAATGGCTTAGAGTGAATCAAAAATTGTCCCTGTGTTCCATGAGCTTCCATGAAAAAAATGTTGGCAGTTCTGAGGTGAATTATAAAGATATGACTATAATAGCAGTCATCAACGTTGTGATATGCCTAGATTCAACTGGAGAGTTTTTTCTATTCTGCATTATGCTTCTGCCTAATGGACGGGGAGAAAGCGCATGCTTCTGCAGTGATTAGTAGGGTGGAGGCCGAGCTGGTGAAGCTTGCTCCCCTATTCTGCAGAAGACGCCTCCCTCACAAATACAAAGGGCCGTATCCAGCTGTTTGGGTTTTTTTTTAATTACATGTATTTGTGGGGTGTGGGTGTGGATATCACAGTGTTTGGAGGTCTGAGAACAGCTTGTCAGAATCACTACTTCCACCAGCAAGTGCCTTTACCCCCTGAGCCATCTTGCCAACCCCAGGCTCATTTACATGTCCTCAGTGAAGCAGCACAGGTTTTGAGACTGTCAAAAAGATAACATTTAGAAGGCAGTGAGGCGAAAATGGGATGGAGATGTGAGTGAAAATGAGTGTGTGAGGATACACGCGAAAGCCCAAGCGCTTGGATTGGTGTGCACACAGTAAAGAGCTTTTGAGGTGAGTTGTAAATGGGGGCAAACAGGGTTTTCTGCAGCTGGAGGAAGTCAGTGAAGGCCGCTTCCAGTCTGGGCATGATTGCATATCAGCCACCCCCCACCCCACAGAGTTGGTATGGCTTCAGCGCACTGTGCACCACCAGGGCCTGAGAGCCCGGGGAGGTGTCCTGTAGAGGATGTGTCCTTTCCAACTGAAATGCAGGCCTTTGCCCTGTGCGATAGAACAATAGAACACAAGAGCGTCCTCCGCTTAGGGGCAGTGGTTTTATCTATCATCAGGGTTTAGAAAACACAAATGCTGCTGTTCTGAAATATCTGGTCATTCTTCTTAAATGATTTTAAAATCTCCCTAAGTACAAAAAAAAAAAAGTAAGAAGAAAACCCTATAGTTTCAAAACACAGCCTGGCATGGTTAGCAAGCCCAGTGCCACATAGCTGCCCCCAGGAGGCTGACACAGAAGGATCAGGAGCAGGAGGCTCCCAACATCTGTGGTTCCACAAGAATAAAACCCTGGGGAGAGCGAGCCTTGGGCTCATGCCAAGATTATTGGCAAGCGTCACACACCGCTGCAGCAGTATGTATAATAGTGCAGCTATGGCAGGTGACTGCGGGGCCTGGGTACACAGGGTTGACTTCACAGTGTCCAGTGAAAACCTAGACTGGATTGGGAGCAGTTTGTAAGCAGTTAGGAATATTGTTCAGTGTCTGCAGATTTTTGCTGAAATGGCCATATCTTAGGGACATAGGTCACCTGAATCCTCTTTTGTAACCAGCTTTTCTTGGGATGTCACTGAAGATAGATATGTTCGCAGAAGACAAAGATGGCAGGTAAATATTTTATGATGAACCTGGACCTTCGGTATTCCTAAATTCCCACATTTGGGGAGTTTACTTTGGGGAGTTTATCTGGGCCCTGTAGAACATTACTTTTGCTCAGCCAATTAGAAGTATCCAGGGGGATATTCTCCCTTAGAGGAGTACCTCCAATAGCCGGATTCAATAAGGCACTCGAGTCCATTAATGCAACCCTTTTAGCAGAATTCACTCTGGACACTTCAAAGGAGGACTCAAAAAGGCCATTGGAGACCCAAGCAGGGTGATTGGGCAGTGTGAGCAGCCCTGGGCTTCTTGTTACCTTCGCCAAGTGGAAACCGTCGGGACATCTCAGGGGTTATAGCTGTCCATTTTTACCCATGCCCATCAAGACTTCCTTCTAGGAACCATTTGAGGTGTGAGGATCCCACTTGCTGTGTTGCGTCCATGGCAGGACTGTAGAAGCTCCTGAGGATGGATAGAGATGTGTTACACCAAGTTCCCTACCCAAATCATGGCCATGCCCCAGATCACAAGGGCGGGGATGTAAATTCTACATAGTCTGGAAGGAGAGACTAGAACATCACATGACAGAAGGTCCATGTCACATACACACACAGACACGCACACGCACGCGTGCACACACACACACACACACACACACACACACACACACACACACAATTTTGTTTCCTGGAGGAAATAGTTTAAACAACCATCACAAAGACTTTTTAAAGACAAACTACCTAAGACTGTATCTCAACCTATCTCCTGAGAATTTGATGATGTATATCCTCTTCCATGGGATGAATGTAGGGAATGGATGGTGGAGACTAGTTCCCTTAGCTGCCTTAGATGTCCTGTGGGCTTGGTTGATGTGTGTTACTTAATACCTATAAGCATATTAATACGATCTCTTAATATTTTGCCCTTGATAATGATATGCCTCAGCAATAACTACAGTAATTATTATAACCCCCATCAAGGGAGGTGGTACCTCCATTCAGTCCCGACAGAGCTATTCTCCAGCATTGCAGCTGGCTTTGGTGGCTGGAGAAGGCTGCATTGTGTTGAGCGGGCTGCCAGGTTGTTGCTGTGCATAAACGCAGTAGGAACACCTTGAGGTCATGTGCCGCAATGTCAACGGGAGCTGTTTGTTCTCTGGAAATGAAGCATCAAGCTTTCCAGTGTTTGAAATATTGACTTAATGAAGAGAGAATCGGGCTTAATTTTTACAGACCCCAAGAACTGAAGTGAGTGGTCAGCAGGTCAGTGCCTGAAGAGGCCTGTTTGAAGAACTTACAGTGGTTTATAGTGCTTCCACATAGGTGAGATCATGGACTATGATAGGGTAGACTCTTGTCCTGGGACATGCTTACATAGATCCCAGATGATCCTCTCACCTGTAATGACACTGCAGAAAGCATTTCTCAGTGGGAAAAGGGAGTGCTAATTTTTTTACCAATTAGAAGTAGAATTACTTGGGAAGAGGAATTTTAATTGAGAAAATGCCTCGACAGATTGCCTATAGGCAAGTTTGTAGGGCACATCCTTGATTCATAATTGGTGTGAGAGGGTCCAGTCCACAGCAGAGCAGTGCCATCCCTGGACAGGAGGTCCTGAGTTATTTGAAAAATCAGTCTGGGCAAGCCGGTAAGCTGCACTCCTCCATGGCTTCTGCTCCAGTTCCAGCCTCCAGGTCCTTGCATGTGTTCTTTCCTGCCATGACCACCCTCCATGATGGACTGCAACCCCAAGCTGCTTTTCATCATGGTGTTTGTTTATCACATTGGAAACCCTAACTGGAATGGGGGAGGGGAGGTTGTAATTGATTTTTGCCACTTTGGGAAGTGGGTAGATGATTCCAA